CAAAATAATATTTAAATTCAATATATATATTATATAATAAGTTATATACATATGTGTGTGTGTGTGTATATATAATATAAAGCTTTAAGCTTTTGTTATTGTAGGAGTGTGTATAATATAATAAGTATATCGTTTACATGCTTTAAACTTTTGCTATAATTGAATTTCGTTAGTACCTATAATTTTTATGTGTACTAAGTTTTAAAATAGTCTGAGTTATTAAATTACAAGGAAAAAGAAGATATGTTTTTAATATTAATATTAAATAGAATATGTCAATGGAAATAGAAAGTATATTTAATTGAATATATACATTTGGGAGAAACGATAATTTTAAGAATACTAAGTACGTGATTTAAGTTAAAATTTATGAGCTCTAAGGCTTTCGCGAGTTTTATTCATTTAAATGGAACTAATATTTATTATCTGATGATAAATAATAGGACAGACAGACTGACATTCACATCTCGTCTGTCCGTGATCACGGTTGCTGAAAAGTAATCGAAACGTCGGGAATATGTGGTTGTTATCAAAAATAAAGTCTCGTAGTATATCAGAATTTTTTTTAGTTTTATTTAAATTAAGTTAGAATGTCTTAAATATACTTTTATTTATAACTAGTTTTTGCCCGCGACTTCGTCCGCGTTAATTTCATCATTAGTAATATATGTATAGCTGGATATCCGAGCGTAGCCAACTCATCCGCGTGGTTGGCGCAGACCTTTCGTTGCCGGCAGTGGTCCAGGCCATGGTCGGCAGCGAGAGGGCATGGCAGGCGGTGGCCGACTTCAGCGAGAGAGTCATCTTGCAGAAGGAGGCTGCTGAACGAGTGAGGGAAGACGACCCCTCCTCGGCGCCGCTGCGCCGAGGAAGGCTGGGTCGAAGGCAGCGGGCTTATGCTCGCGACCTGCCTCCCCAGTGAGGAAGCCTCCGGGCGGCGGCGGGGAACCGGCGTCCGGGTAACATAGGCTAGAGGAAGAGCGGCGTGTTTGGCGTTCCCGGCACGCTGCTCTTGAGTCGGAGGGGTGGTGTGGTCAGCCACTGATGCCCCTGCCGATGGCGGAGTCCCTTTCGGGACTCGTGCGTAGTGAGCGGAAGTATGGCTTGCCGTTCCCGCTCACTAGTCTACGCACAGCGCAGAGAACGCCGAGGTGGTTTAGTGGGTGGAAATCCCACATGCCCCTGTCGCGTTTCCCCCGCGGCAGGAAGTCTTTAAAAGATTCCCCTCGTAGAAAAAAAAAAAAAAAAATATATGTATAGCTGACCGGGAGAACTCTATTCCGTCCTAGAGGCCATAAATAATCAGGTTTTTCCTGTTTCAATAAAACAGAATGATTGACATATTAGTTAGTTGTCAAATCTAATGTCAAAGAAAACATTTGTATGGGAAATAGAAAAGGACTGTTTTTAGGGTTTTCCCGAAAATAAATCAATTTTTCTCATCTTTTAAACCTTCCCTGAACCTCCACGAACATTTCCAGACTAAGATAAGATAAATCCGTTCAGCTGTTCTCAAGTTTTAGCAAAACTAAGGAACAGCAATCCATTTTTATATATATATATATATAGAAGAAGAAGATAATAAAACACGTAGTATATGCGACTAACATATTTTCATTATAATATATACTCGTTAAAATATTAGTGAATATAAAATCCCAACTAATATTATAAATGCGAAAGTAACTCTGTCTGTCTGTCCGTCTGTTACGCTTTCACGCCTAAACCACTGAACTGATTTTAATGAAATTTGGTACAGATAGAGTCGACCTTGAGAAAGAACATAGGATAGTTTTTATCCCAGACTTTTGAAAGGTTCTCTTGGAAACGCGATATAACCGAACTCCACGCGAAGCTGCGGCCGGAAAGCTAGTATTAAAATATATTAATCACGATCAGTATTCGTATTCATAACTCACAACAAACTTCCTGATTGATTCTCAAGTCAATTAATCATATAACAATACTTAAGATGGATTTTTTATTTTAAGTATATTTAAACAGTCATATATCAATTAAAATATATATTATTCCTCCTAAAAAACTGTATCTATACATATAAAAGAAAGTCGTGCTAGTTACACTCTTTATAACTCAAGAACGGCTATAGGGATATGGTTGAAAATTGGTGGAAAAAAAATAATAATAAACTCCAATATCTGATTATTTACGGCCTCTAAGGCGGAATTGAGTTCGCCCGGTCAGCTATACATACATTACTAATTCCGAAATTAACACGGACGAAGTCGCGGGAAAAAACTAGTTCTTAAAATATATGACAGGACTAACTACGTCACTAAGAACCTATTATATAAAAACTCATTAAACAACACAATTTAAAAAACTATGGCCGCCTCGCAACGTATTTTACAAACATGATTAGAATTTAAATGATGATTTCCAATTATAATTCTGTAGTGTACTTAGATAGTTACACAGACCACATATAACATTTAAATATATTATATAAATAAAAAGGACAAGTGGTAATAATATTAAATTTTCTAAATGGCTGTTTAGTTTAAACCTTTGGTTGTATTATGTAGATTTAAAAAAATCTGTTTTTTATTGTCTATGCCTTTCTGAACGGTGCGTTATTATTTTAATTATATGCACTTGTATTAACTTGTATCTTCGTGAAAATGCAAGAAAGCGCAGCCTTATCGATTTTCTTGTAATTAAGTATAATTTGTTAACTATCAGACCGTAATGAGATAAGATTTGGTGAAATTTATTCACAAGAAAAATACATGATAAACGGCTACAAGATACGGTGTAATGCGGATCAATATTTATTGCTATTAGTAAAACTTTCAATAGATTTTTAAAGTAAATAATAAAAAAATAAAAAGACTATTTCTAATTTTAAAAAAAATATTTTTTTTTATACTGTGTTTTAATTAATTCTTAGATTAATGATTTTTTAAAATAATATTTGATCATATAAGTTTGACTGTTGTCATTACAAACATCGTATTATAAATAATATTATTTACTTCACAAGAATCTTTAAACAAAATAAATCACTATTTATATCTGTATTCCACAGACAGATAAAAATGTATAAGCGTACCTATCGAATTATAATTCAGTACAGAAAAGTATTAAGGGGGCACTTCACTTGGCGTTTATGTTGTGTTCGGCCAAATAAGACAAGTGTGGAGGATTTATTCGTCTTCATTTGACATATTTGCACAAATAAAACACATACACTAATAAGCGAAAGCCTAAAGGCGTGTTTTTAGCAAGACAAGTGTGGATGTCGTGTTTGTGATATTTGACTACGTATAAATATTTGAACAAATGCGGCGGATATTCGTTCTTATTGTCTTTTCCTATGAATAATAACACATTAGTCGCCGAACACTGGTTTCGTATCAACGCGTCATTGATAAGTTGCGTAAAATCATTCTTTGTTTTGTTTGGTAAACAATGTCAGTGTCACAATGACATATGTGTAACCTGATTTAAGTGCATTAATTATAAATGTAAGTTAAATTTGTTTAAATATGTTATTTCGCTCGCCTACTTTATAAATGAAAGTTTTTTTTGTTATATATTTAATTTTCTAGTAATATTTTATATATAAACTGTTATGATACCATTTCTTTATATACAGATTAAAATATGTCAAAAATAAAAAATCCGTAAAAAAAATCATAACTCCTTACAATGATATTTTTAATTATTGTTTTTAGTATTTGAAAGATTCATATTGATATTAAAATTGATTTAATCAAAGTAAAAAGAATTATGAAATAAACTTGAACTTATTTTAAATAGTTGAGTTAAATTATTTTCTATGTTATCGCATATTTTTATAAAAAATAAATCTCCATATTAATAAATAATCTGACCTTGGCATAAAATAGTTTCTTATAACACTTAAAAGTATTACATTATAATAAATTTAGATATAATCCCAAAAATCCAATTCATATTACAACAAAGGCTATTGTCTTATAGTTATTTGGTCACCTAATATTTATCATTCTCAATTAGACTGAATATTTCCTAAGTAGATTACTTAATTGACACTATCATCAATACAAATGAATATAGGTCGCCAGTATTTCTTAACCAATTAACAATCACCCTTTGTTTAAAATTTGGACCAGAAAAAAAAATGATAATAACAATAGTAGGGAATAAATAAAGATTTTAAATTTTTAATAGAAGTAATTTCATAAATTATTATTTTAATGGACGCTACTTAAAAATAAATAGAGAAGTTCGTTGGTTGACAAATTCATACGTCATCTAGCGGAAAAAATCAGCAATATAACAAACGTTTAACAAAATACAGTATAATAAATAAAACTAAACAAAAGTAGTTATCAAGTAATTGATTTAATTATAATGAAATAATTTTATATCATCTTGTACTATTGCATGTGTGTTAAAACTTACGTAGGTATATTGTCGTCAAACCAGCTACAATTATCATATCCGATTAAATGTGGAACAAGTTATTTTAAGAATCAAAAAGTTCGTTACTTAACATTTACTTTCTATCTAACAACAAATATATCAATATGAATAATATTTTTTTAATTTTAATGTGAAATCGTAAATTTTCTTTAAGAAATGATGATATATTTTCTTCTTTAAGTAGCATGTTTCTGGTAGCGTATTGCGTGGCAAACTTTCGCATTTATAATTATAGTATTTAAAATTGCCATTTTTAAGAGAAAATCTTTAGTTATTTCTTGTACATACAGTGTTTAAATAGTTAAGATAACCGGTTTATATGCAAATATTATACTTTTAACGGGATTTATATTGACAACTTTGGCGGGAAAAAATAATAATTAAGGATTTAGTGAATTGTACAAACAAACATGCGTTATATTTTTACATATTAAATCATTTACAAGGTTCCCTTGAAGATTTACATAGTAATGATATCATAAAACAATATAATTTCTTTTTATAATTGTGGATAATGCTTTAAAAAGGATTGAGATGTTCTAAATTAATGTTTTTTTTTCTTTCTAGATATGATTGTAGCAGAAGCTTGGAAAGCGAATTACCTGTACTGGTTACTGCCAGCTATACTTTTACTTGGTCTCGTGGCATTCTTTGGACTGATAGCGGCATTCTTCGCAATTCGTTTATACGCTAAGTTTACTTGTGGAAGATATCGAGAGAGCACCAGAATGGATGGAAAGACGGTAATAGTGACTGGATGTACCAGCGGAATAGGAAAAGAAACGGCTAAAAATTTGGCGAAGAGGGGCGCAAAAGTTATTATGGCCTGTCGCAGTTTAGATAAGGCTGAGCAAGTCAAAGGTTTGATATTTTTTATGTATTTAATTTCATTTCCAACTCTTTTTGTATATTGAATGCATCCAAAATAAGTTTATCTAATTTAAAATTGCAGTGGGGTAAAAAATAATAATGCTTCATAGTTTTTAAGTCATGACTTATGAGTCATTGGATTTCCTCGTATATTTCAAAGAATCACTTTCTAAATATGACGATTTAGAAAGTGATTCTTTGAAATTTCATTTAAGCCATATAATTTACTTTTCTATAAAACACACAGCAGCTCAAATTAATTTTGATCTAAAAATAAAATTGTATAGATTGTGTTATTTAAATTTACAGATGAAATATTACAGGCGACGAAAGACGCGACCGTTTTGATTAAGAAACTGGACCTCAGCTCATTTGCGTCAATACGATCCTTCGCTGAAGACATAAATAAAACCGAGAAACACTTGGACGTATTAATACACAACGCGGGTTACGCTGAGACATTCAAGAAGAACAAATCCGAAGACGGTATAGAATTGACAATGGCTACAAATCATTACGGACCATTCCTATTGACCCATCTTCTGGTAGATTTACTAAAGAAAAGCGCGCCATCAAGAGTGGTCGTAGTGGCGTCCTCATTATACAGATTGGCATCCGTCAATTTGGACAACCCTAATCCATTAACAACTATGCCAGGATACCTATATTACGTGTCAAAGGAAGCAAATATTCTTTTCACCAGAGAATTGGCAAGAAGATTAGAAGGTACTGGCGTAACAGTTAACTGTTTACACCCGGGTTTGATCGATAGCGGTATTTGGAGGAATGTGCCGGCGCCATTAAGTTGGGGTTTGTGGTTAATTAATAAATCATTCTTCAAAACGCCAGTACAGGGTTGTCAAACGTCTGTTATGTTGGCGGTTGACGAAAACCTATCAAAGGTCACTGGCAAATATTTCTCAGATTGCCAAGAAAGTTCTATTTCCACTTCTGCCAGCGACATGAGTAGGGCCAGAAAATTGTGGGAGATTTCCGAGAAAATGGTTAAACTAGAGGAAAATGATCCTAGAATCTAGAATGTTCTATAGAACAAATAAGTTTTTGTCAAGAATATTGAAGTTAATTAATGTTATATATGTAATCCCTACTTTTATTATAAATGAAAAAGTAACTCTGTCTGTCTGTTTGTTACGCTTTCACGCCTAAACTACTGAACTGATTTTAATGAAATTTGGTACAGAGATAGAGTTGACCTCGAGAAAGAACATAGGATAGTTTTTATTCCAGACTTTTGAGAGGTTCCCTTATAGTATATAAATAAAACAAAATATATTGTTTAATAAAATTCATTTATACACAACTATATACATGTAAAATCCATAAATATGTTAGTTGTACGTACGTTAACAATATTATTGAAGTTAAAGCTTATTTGTGTTTTGGACTCGGATTAATAATATTATTTGTTAATAAAGTTATTATTTATAAATTATGTTTTAATGAATGTATGAAGATTGAAGCGGTTGATGAAGTGATTACAAATGACTTATTACTACAACTTATATTAAATGATAATTACATAAAACAAAACACGAGTTACATTTAAATGAAATTAATACAATTTTAATAAAATATTGTTCTATCCGAACTATATTTTTATGTGATATTAAATATCAGTCTATTAAATCGAATTGATCTAGGAAAGTCTGGTCTACACCCAGCGCTGTCCCCAAACTTTCCCTGGGTTTCCGAGTTTCAACTTCATCCAAATCCATACAGAATTCATCCAAACAGTTACTATTAACATTCTTCCAAACGCTGCAACTCGGACTCAGTAAATCCGGCAATAAGTTTCTATTTGCTGTGTACATTTCGAAGTTTCCATTAAAATTTTCTTCTTCAATCGTTTTTATGTCTGTAATTTCACGTTCAGGTATAACACTCGCCCTAACTTTCTTAAAACGGTTAATTATTTTTTCCAACGAACTAGTTTTCCTTATAACGGATGTATTTGGTTTTGGAGTTATATCACTCCTTGGCACTTCTAAGATCGGTGAAACAGTACTATCCATTTCTAAATCGGTTAAAATCTGTATGTTATTTACTTTATTGATAATTTTTTCACTATCATTGGTAACAGTGATTGTTGGTATGTTCGTTGAATCTAAATTTCTTGAACTTTCAGCATTACCGAGCCCATGAGGTGAATTATAATTGCTGTCTTGATCGATACAAGTAATGCCGGAAACTTCTAACTGTGAAGGACTATCTTCTTTCATGATAGATAATTTCTTGCCTTTTATTTTATTAAACGACCTCCTTTCTTTGTTTTCAAATAGATTAGGTGATGAATAGCTCCGAAACAAACCGTTACTCTCATTTGAAGTAATAGAATCATTGAAAAGGGCACCATTTCTTTTTATTTTAATGTTCGTATGATCGGTTTTATATTTAAACTTCTTGGAGCTACTAGATTTCTTTGTGGATAGCAATCTCAATATCTGTTGTTTTGTGAATCCAGATGAACATTCAGCTATGGTTTCATTAACTTTGTTAATATTAGATATCATCGAGATATTGTTAATATTCTGACTTATATTCAAGTTATCATTATGTTTCCGGCACGTTTTCAAGCTTTTTAGGAACTCATCCTTCGGTAATTGATAGAATGGCTGTATTAAAGATCGGGATTGGGGCTTTGCAAATGTCCCACTATTCTGTCTTCGCAGATTAAATTGACGTCGAGTTAAATTAAGTGGTGTGAATGTATCATAAACTGTATGATATTGATCTCGGCTTATTTTCAATTCTGATAAATCCGGCAATAATGGAATCTCCGAATATTGTCTTAATGAAACTGATCTGTATTCCACTGATGATGTCTGAAAATATATAATTAATACATTAATTCTATTTAAAAAGTACCACCAGTAAAAGTATAAGGAAAAATATCCTATTACCAAGCAATAAGATACTTTTTCCTAAAAATTCTACAACAATAAATTCTACATAAACAGTTAAGAAACCGTTTGACTATTAAGGACAAATTAATCTTAATTGACTATGTTGAATATAGCACAATATATACTGTGATTCTACTAACATCGTGTCAAACATATTAAAATATATTAATTTATAACATAAAAATATATAATAATCCCTACTAATATTATAAATGCGAAAGTAACTCTGTCTGTCTGTCTGTTACGCTTCCATGCCTAAACCACTATACTGATTTTAACTAAATTTGGTACAGAGATGGAGTTGATCTTGAGAGAGAACATAAGATAGTTTTTATCCCAGACTTTTGAAAGGTTCTCTTGGAAACGCAGTATAACCAAACTCCTCGCGGGCGAAGCTGCGGGCGGAAAGCTAGTAGGAAAATATATGTCACCTGTAATTTTTCTTCGGCATTCAAGACCCTTTCAATTAATATCTTTAGAGCTGATACCATTTCACCGAAATTATGGTTGGCTCCATCTAAATACTGGTTAAACTTATATACTTCATTACCGATCTCATTATTTTTTAACATATAACAGATAGATATAACAAATGCTCGGATTAGGTTCGGGAAGTTCAAACATCCCGATTTCTCTATATTTTTAAGTATATATGTTTGTTGTGTATTAACATGACTTTGTAGTTCTTTTGTACATATTTGATCGACTTTTGGATCATATTCAAGAGTGTACGAACTTCTTTCCACTTGCCCTGTGTGTCTATTGATTACAGCTTCTGTTAAATCATGAACTACATTACATTTGTTTAACAACGGTGATATTTTTTCTGTCCATTTTTTATCCAAACCGTCACTTTGTTGATCGACATATTGTAGCCAGTCATCAAAGAATGGTGATTGTTCATTAACATTTTTAATTTTCAATATTTGTTCTCTACTTGCGTCATCTAAATCATTTTTACTTAGAAAATCGTCCACCAAATTATTAATAAAACTTTGAGCTTGAAGTTGCGATAATTTATTATCCATTACTGTAATTTTCTTTCGAAACAAATCTGCTATATTCTCCATAATATGCCGTTTGTTCAGATAATTGGAGAACTTACTTAACATAATACTTGTCTCTTTTTCTATACATTCCAAAAAGCCATCTTTTTCATGGGCTTTATATTTATCTGTCATGTTAATGTATAGCAATTTTTTATTTTCTTTAACCATTTTTGTTTGAAGCATCCGATTTACCGCCAATTGTGAGAGTTGGAACATTAGAACAGTCACTTTAAAGCATCCCGCGTTAACTAAATATGAAGACATGACTGGAGTAAGCAGACCTTTCGAACTATAATCGCTTATGAATACAGAAAATTCATTTCTATAGGTCCTTTCCGCTTTAGTATCATACAAAGGCCATGTTAGTGATGCGTATACTTGAGGATCGATTATTGACACCAAATAATGGGATAACTGATTAAATAAGTTCTGTGTAGGTTTATCAAGAGCATTTTCCTTAAATATCAACCTCGATAACTCTGGTAGCATCGGCTGAAGCTTGCTTAGAATTCCCACATTTAGTATTGTTTCCCTTTTGAGAGTAATAACAAGATCTTTTTGCATTACTATGGTAGCCATTATTGAATAACACTATTTAAACATTTTAACACTATATTAAATTATATTAATACAGAATAAAACTCGAAATTACGATAGCAAATTATAAACAAACAGGTTTAGCTTTTTCGACGTTTTGGCCATTATGAAATTTCAAATTTAAAATGTCAAAATTTCCGTTAAAGACAGATACAAAATGTTAGACTAAATAAAGGAAATGAAATGATATTTACAAAATATTCCACTATTTCAATGTGAATATAGGCTTAGTTTGAAAAAAAAATGAAATTAAATAAAAAATTTTTTGAAAGGACAGAAAAAGTAAATTTAAATATGTTAAAGTTTCTCAAATCATATAAACATTATTATTTAAATGTATTTTCTCATTTTGTTTGATTTAAGCATTTTATTATGAGAAATAATATAAAAATATATTTAATTACAATTAAATAATATATTGTTTATGAAACGTATTACATATCTGATATCATAGATATTAAAGAACATAACCTCAAATTAACAACCAAATATCAATGCTTGCTAGTTGCTTATCTTCAACCTTGTGTTTTGGCGTGGGGTTGTGCACGTGTGTTTTAGTACTAAATTTATTTGAAGTTATGGAAAAAAGTGCCTTTAATTAATTAAAATGGTAAATTACATTACAAAAATTCTATTATAAACGTAATAAAGTAATTGTATGTCATATTTTACTCTCAAATTATGTTAAACTTTGAAATTTGTTTACGGAGTTCAATGTAAAATATTTCTTATAAAATTGTTTAGTATATCAATAAACTATAATAGATATTGTGTTTTAACAGAGTAAGTTATACGTGCTCTATGAGCACAGCGCGGGCTTTGCCCTCTTCAGAGTATCAGAGTTCGAAGAGCTTGCAGCATTTCTGCCGCAAGTTGAAGAATCCGTTACAGACTTGCAGAAATTCAATTCCGTGGTTACTTTGGTAGCTTTCCAGCCTTTCAAGTCAGCGGTGCTGGCTTTGGAGAACATCAACGCCGTGTCTGAAGGTACTTCATATTTTTACGTATCTTATGCTTAATTTATACCGTATTGATATTGGTTAGGTAGGGAGAGGAGCTTGGACGATGGAGGTGAGAGTTTAACGCGTTAGATAAGGGTCCTTTAAACCTACACCTGGGTCGCAAGTCCCAGTCACTGTTGAAGCTCCTCTCACTACAACGATGGACCAGACACACGCATATGAATATATTGAATGCTTAGTAGTTTCGTTTCATTAATATAAATAATTATGGTACACAGGTATTTTGCCAGAGGATCTTAATTTGTTCCTCGAAAGTGCGCTGCCAAAGCGTAAAAAACGTGGTAAATGCACCCTAGGTGTAGCAGACCCCAAGCTTGGGGCGGCTATCAGCGAAGCCCTAGAGATACCATGCTCTCACACTGGCGCTGTTCCAGAAGTTATACGAGGTAATTAAATTATATACATATGTTATATATAATTCTTCTACCTGACAATTTCCCGGCTATGGCCAGGGTCTGCCTTACATGTTGTGAATAGTTTTGGCTAATTGTTTTTATGACCGGCCGCCTGGATGACATCAACCATCTTTTGGTTATTACCACATATGTTATAATTATATTGTCTTAATTTTGTAATAAGTTGTATTAAGATAACAACATAACGATAAAAACACATATTAAAATCAAACATTAATATTAATACATAATTTTGTTTTTAGATGTTGTCATATTCCACTCATGTTGTTGATTATAATTGTCTTATTTTTTATCTCATCCTCAAATCTTTTCCTATAATTAGTAAATCTAACAAGTTCCTACACTACTATTTCTATATATCATTAATGAAGTACCAATACCTCCTATGTGTTGAGAATCTAATTTTACACCAGAAGATAAAAACTGTAAAATATATATGAATGAATGAATTCTGCCACCTAGTAGATATTTTCACATAGCTCAAGAAACTGTTTGGTAAAGAAATATTGTATAGGAGTGAATTAAATCTATGTGAATATGAGTTTTATGTCTATTGTAATAAAAAAGTACTTTTGGACTAAATTGTCAATTAGGAGGTATTAGTACTTCATCAACAATATTGTAATATATAACTACAAGTTACACATCCAATATGCACAACTTGATCTATTGCAAGCTACATAGCTTGTGGTAATAAAATTGTGCTAGACTAACGCAATTTAGTTATGCCATCATATTCCAATGAGTATCGATGGACAAAAAAATTTCAACACTACCATTTAACTTTAAATTTTTCATCATTGAACATATATAGGTACCGCAAACATATAGCTAGTAGAATATTCATTGATTTCACTAAGGATAACTTTTTTGTAGGTATCAGACATCATTTCCACTCGCTTATCAAAGGACTGACAGCGAAGGCATGCAGTGTAGCCCAACTAGGGCTCGGTCATTCTTATTCACGAGCCCGTGTAAAGTTCAACGTTCATCGAGTCGATAATATGATCATACAATCTATAGCCCTTCTTGATCAACTCGACAAAGATGTTAACACGTTTTCTATGAGAATCAGGTATAAATATATTTTTTTAATAAGAAAAAGTAATAAATAAAAGTTTCTGTCAATACTATTAACTAACTATAACATAATGATTTAGATTAAATCCTTCACGACTACATAATTTTGTATTGAGAAAATTTAATTTAAACTTGCTTTCAATGTCAATACTAAACCATAGACAAATATATTTTTATTACATTGTGACTTAGATTAAATCCTCTTTTGTCTTACTATATATTCAACAACATTCATATTAAATACCATAAATAATATTTATTTTTCAGAGAATGGTATTCCTACCACTTCCCAGAGCTTGTGAGTATTGTGCCTGAAAATTATCTTTACTCCAAATGTGCGGAATTCATCAAAGACAGGAAAACATTGACCGATGAGTCTGTCGAACCTCTCACAGAGATTCTCGGTGACTCTGAAAAGGCTCAAGCTATAATCGATGCATCAAAAATGTCGATGGGAATGGACATATCGCCCGTTGACTTGATCAATATACAGATGTTTGCTAGCAGGGTTGTTGCATTGAGTAATTATAGGTATATAATGTTATAATTGTTATTTCTATACATTTGTTATTTGTGATCAATATAAATATAACTTTAAATAACACAATTAGATGTCTTAGTAGTAAAAATTCTGAAATTAGAAGTTACATATCGTCGGGGATAGTGCAAAACCGCGTAACTAGCATTGGATAATTCCGCGTATCCATATTGGAAGCAGATTATCAGAAGAAAGTTTGAGCTGAAATATTTTCTAAATTAACAACTTTGAAGGTAATTTCTTCACAATTAAGTATTTAATTTATTACTAATTTTCCAAAAATAACCTTAAAAGTTCGTTAATATAGAACATATTTCTGCTCAAACTTTCTTCTGATAATCTGCTTCTTATGTAGATACGCGGAATTATCCAATGCTAGTTACGCGGTTTTGCACTATCCCCTACGATATACCGATTATTGATATTTTTGATGTTAAAATCAATTATTTAATTCAACAGGAAGCAAATAGCTGAATATCTTCATACAAAAATGGCTTCGGTTGCACCGAATCTTACAACACTTGTTGGTGATCAAGTTGGGGCTCGACTTATATCAAAAGCTGGTTCTCTTACAAGCTTGGCCAAGTATCCTGCTTCTACGTTGCAAATTTTAGGTAAATTAATAACATTTGTATAGAAAAATTACTTAAATTAAATTGTGTTCATCTCATAAGATACCTTATAGGAGTAATATATGGAAAAAATTACTTGAAGTTTTTAATATGACTTAAATTCTAAGCTTAATTGCAAGTAGACTTGTACATTTTAATTTTGAATTCCAAGCAACATTTTCTTTGTATTATGTGCTTATATATGCCACTCAATACACCAAAACTTAATGATTTTTATTACTTACTATTATTTTTATTCCAGGTGCTGAGAAAGCTCTGTTCCGAGCTTTGAAAACTCGATCGGCGACACCTAAATATGGTTTATTATATCATTCGAGTTTCATTGGTAGGGCCGGCGCTAAGAACAAGGGTCGCATCAGCCGCTACCTGGCTAATAAATGCTCTATTGCTAGCAGAATCGATTGTTTCTCTGGTGAGTTGGAAATTAATATTAATATAGATAATATAGTATTAAAATTAACTTAATCAAGATTCAAACTTGTTATTTATGTGATATGTTTAGGCTTTTTTATGTTTTAGTCCGTCTAAATATACAATGTTTGAATGAAAAGTATTGTCTCAAATTTTATTGTTTTTGAAACTACATACTTCCGACGTTTCAGTTACTTTTCAGCAACCGTGATTATGGTTAATAATAGAATATAATCCAAAAAATATTATTTTCATTTAAATGAATACTTGCTAATTCTTAGATCTCATAATATATTGCTTAGTTGGTAATAATTAAGTAAACCTAATTATTTCATGAATATTTACATATATAATCTTTGTTTTATTACAGAGAACTTATCAAGCGTATTTGGTGAGAAATTAAGGCAGCAAGTAGAAGATCGCTTGAAGTTCTATGAAACAGGTGACATTCCTATGAAGAATATTGACGTCATGAAACAGGCTATAGAAGAAATAACTCAACAAGAAGACGCTTCAGCTAAGAAGAAGAAAAAGAAGAAGAAGAAGGAACAAAACGAAGTGCCCATGGATGAAGATTGATTGGAAAAATATATGTTTTATGTATGAATATTGTTTTATTTTAACTTTAATATACATGGTGTTAGAATGATTAAGTTTTTAGTACTATTTGTACGAGTTTTATAACTGGTAATGCTAGATTAATAAATGTCTATTGAACTTATATTTTATTTCTAAAGCCTTTACTTATATAATAGTAATTTTTTACAAGATATTAGGTTATGTAAATTGTAAGTATATAATTTGATATGAATCGAGAATTGAGATATAGTTATAAAATTTTGAAACACATATTTTCAGCCAATAGATCAGTTTGGATGGTACAATATAGTGAAACTTGTGACGACATTCTAATTATTGTATCACATTTTAAGAGCAAACTTGTTAATAAAATAATGTATTATTGGTATTAAATGAAGAATTTAGTTATGAAAAACTTATTAAACTAACGTCAGTTTAAATCTAAATCCAATATTGCGGAATTTGGTTCAGTTTTAGACAAACGATCGTGTGAGGAAAACACTTGTCATGGCTATAGATTGAAATTGTTACAATACGTATAGTAGCAAGTACGAAATTTGCCAAGATATGGTGAAATAGGGATGTTTGCGCATGTACACTTAGTGCAACAAATAGTATTCACTTTATACAGATCCATAACCAAAGTCCAAAACATGTAATAGTAACAAAACAATGGGTTTAATTTAAGTGATCGCATGTTCACTAGGGAGCTAACATCGAATCACGCGCGTGGACTTGTGCAATCTCATTTCCCGCTTCTTGGAACATACATCTGACACCTAAAAATCGACTTCTATTATTCTATAATCTCTTGTCAAGTTACGCGCCAGCTACTATGCTATTGGTATATTTTGGAATTTTGGTAAATTGTAAGACAAATTCACCCGCCACAAAGGTAGTTTTATTTAAGAAAGTGTATAAGCACGGGAAGCTTTTGTCAAGTATTCTTTTTAAATAAGAATATCTGGACACCGACCCTTGCTCGTTATTTAGGAATTATTAGTATTTAGTTTGTGTTTCTTTTTAATTCGTTAGGGCATTTTTAAGTGAACACGTTAAGAAGACACAAAATAATATAAATCAATAATTAATTTCTTAGTCTGACCCCAAAACAAACATTCAATTACTTCCTGTTGCTTAACAACGCCATCTGCTGTTGTGTCGTTCAAACAATTATTAAAAGCAATTAGCAAAAAGTAGTATTACTATTCGCTAAAAGATGTCAGGAAGAGTCATATTTTAAACGCCTTCTTTTTTCATAAATGACCTTTTCTAAAAATGATTCCTAGCTAGATCGATTTATCGCCCCCGAAACCCCCCACATACTAAATTTCATGAAAATCGTTGGAGCCGATATATACATATAACATTTAAATTTAAATTTTTGTTCCTCATTATCTTATATATTTAAATAAGCAAAGCTCGGTAACCAGATATTATGTAATAAAATTAATAATAATAGAGAGAATTAAATGGATTCCATACAGCATGAATTTAAATTATCCTATAGATTGACTTCAGTCTCAATTAGGTTATTGGCGAGCAGAGTGTTTTCTTCGTCGGAGTAAAAACTAAACAACTCAACATCTCTGGGTTCTTTGCACATTGCGTGATATAAAATAAGTTTTTGCTTTCACGATGGCATTTTTATTTTCAGCTACAAACGCGGGTATACTACTGAGCATTAAACTTACAATCGCTCACAGCATGCATCTTATAGCGCGCATCCTTCCATATAAAAACATCTTAGTTGAATAAGTTTCTAGCAAGGATAAGGTATCTGCACTAATAAATATGATTGGTGGAAAATAATAGCACAGCACATCTCTGGTAAAAAATCACTCAAGGCTTAAACTTTTAAATCAATTTATAAATAAAACATGATAAATCCAACTATCCATCTCATTATATGAATAAAAAAATATAGAAAAAGGTAATAAGGAAATTTATTTAGAAAGTTTAGGTAAATAAACACTACATATATATTAATATAATTTTAGTGTCCACAACATACATTATATCAGCAGCTTTCAATCGCCAAGTTGCTGTTACAATTGATTTTAATATTAATATTGACGGAGGCCAACTGAGTTACAAAGAACTTGAATATATATGGGATCGATATAAGCAATAGGTTTCCTTCACCGCACAAACGACAAGTATCCTTACTTCCATCAGTATTTCCAGATATAGGACCCAGCAGTGTGCCGCATTTAGAGCAGATTATAGCCTGTAAAATATATATTAATATATTAAAAAAACATAGCTTGAAAAATACTTTCAATGTATGAGAAATTACAAGAAAAAATAAGGGAAAATGGTGAATGTTACAAGTGGCGCCATCTGTGTAGTACTAATTACAACATACTGTAATCCTTGGAATGATTTTATAGCTGATTATAATTATTATTATAATAGTGAACTATTATAATTTTATAATGGTAACAGTTAAGTATCGACATGTATTTGAAAACTATAAATACTGGCTTCAACTATTTTATGGGATAATTGGGTGTAACGATCAAATTAAAAATCGAGATTGAAACTGTACCTAAAATAATATGATATGTACTAAGAAGCTGACCTATAGACTTTATGGATGAGTAAAATTTAATCTAAATGAAACTATATACTCCGGATATTTAGTTTACTTTATAGCAACAGTGATCACAAACAGAATAGACATTAGGAGTATGTATATAAAAATAAAAATATACGCGTAGCAATCCGAAAATGTTAGTTTAAAAGTAAAACTATATATTTTGCCTAACTACATAAAGGAATGTAAATGTTTAATAGCTATTAAAAATAAACTTAAAATATCTATTAGACAATATTATGTAGTGCTAGCCATTCCGTGTATGAAATATTAATATTAATCTCATGTAAGTGAACCTGTATATATTATTATGAGAGTAAAGATTTTTAACCATAATTTAGCTGAATATTCACGAGTCCCAGATATTATTATATTATCCTAGATAGCTATTCCCAAAAGAGGGTTGATGTCAGGCAGGCGGCCGGACGTAAAAACAATTAACCAAAACTATTCACAACATGTAAGGCAGACCCTGGCTATAGCTGGGAAAATTGCCAGGAAGAAGAAAATTTACGAGTCCTAGATATCAAAATTTCTTCTATATCAATAATCAATATTCGTTATATTAATCATACCTCGCTTTTATCTGAACAGTGGAATAATCTATCTTGTAGTAGAAAGGCCGCTCCATGTGCTAACAACGCATCTCGTTCCATTTCCCCAAGCCTAACTCCTCCTCCTCGCCGTCTGCCTTTTACTGGCTGACGTGTTAAAGCATCAACCGCGCCTGTCGTGCGGACCTGGGGTATGACATATGTATAATTATAATCTTTCATTTCTTAAGGCAGACCCTGGCTAAAGCTGGGAAATTGCCAGGAAGAAGAAGAATCTTTCATTTCTTCTCATCATCCTATCAGAGCCCACTGCTGAGCCTCTTCTCACATGGAGAAGGTTTGAGCATTAATCAGCACGCTTGCTAAACGGGTTGGTGATTTCAAACTTATAATTTGATAAGTCCAGTTTTCCTTCATCTATCAGTGATGTCTAAATACTCTTAGAAAGTACATATGACTTGGAAAAATCATGTTGGTTCTTGCCAGGTATCGAACCTGTACCCTCATGTATGAGAAGCGGGCCTTTTAACCACTAGGTCACCACGGCCTATTAATAACTTATAATCTAATAATCTTTCATTAACTATATATGTTAGTTTGATTTCACTGTCTCATGGTATTCTTAATTTTGTATACGAAAAAAATTATATACAACTAACTTTCCGCCCGCAGCTTCGCCCGCGTGGAGTTCGGTTATATCGCGTTTCCAAGAGAACCTTTCAAAACTCGGATAAAAACTATCCTGTTCTTTCTCAAGGTCAACTCTATGTCTGTACCAAATTTCATTAAAATCAGTTCAGTGGTTTAGGCGTGAAAGCGTAACAGACAGACAGTTAGAGTTACTCTCGCATTTATAATATTAGTAGGGATAATTAATATGGATATTCCTCAATACAAATATAAGTCTAGTCTATTTATATCCTACTAATATTATAATTGCGAAAATTTGTGAGTGTGTGTGTATGTTTGTTACTTCGTCACGCTCAAACGGCTGAAGCGATTTTGATAAAATTTTGTATACAGGAAGCTGACGTCCAAGAATAGGACATAGGCTACTTTACATCCCGGAAATCCCGGAATTATGTATGTATTATGTATAAAATTCTGCTCACCTGCCACTTATCAGACACCATGTGTCTTAGCCTCTGATAGTGTACTAAACCACAGAATATATCCGCCTGCATTTCTCTTCCGTCCACTCCGCTGTAAAGCCTCTCTGTACCGTAATAATTATATCCACCGGCTTCTAATAAACGACCGAAGTAATTTATAGCGGTGTCTTGTTCGTTGAAACGAAATGGCGTCGCATCATGTACCTGGGAAATAAGAAATATACAGGGTGACTGGTGAATTACTATCGATATTTGAGGACGTGATATTTGACGATCATATATGACAAAATAAAAATTAATATAACATAAATATTAATAAACTTCTAAGTAAAGTTAACCAAAAGTTATGTAATTAATTACGCATCGTGTGAACACCCTACAGATTAGGTATACACACACACACACACACACTCGCGCGCAGTGGCGTGGTGTTGTATGAACAATCCGCCGCACGCGTCCACGCTTGGAACACTTGGAACGTGTCCGCACTTTATTTATTTATACGGAAATTTGGTCAAAAATTAAGTACCTATTTTTTTACATAATTCGAATGAGAATCATGTACCGAGTATGCTCCTTAAATATTGATAGTAATTCACCAGTCACCCTGTATATACTAGAAGACCTGGCGAACTTCGTATCGCTATAATCAAGAAATATCTGTTAAGTTTTTTTATTTATATTTTTGGAGTTTACCTATTAAAGACATAAGCCGTGTTTTGAAGTGCGACAGAATGATTAACATATTAGTTAGTTGTCAAATCTAATGTCAAAAAAACGTTTGTATCAACAGCTACTAATAAATTAAAAATTAATTTATAAATTGTGAATCCTCATACACCTCCACTGTCCAAGCTTTGTTATATTATGATTTTGATTAAATATTATTTCATACAAATAGTTATATTTTTGTGAAGTTGATTGTGTTTCTTACTGATCAAAAATTCGCTGGAGCTATTCGTATGAAATTTTGTTAGTTATAAATTAGGAATTATAGTATTGTGATACATTTGTTTATCTACGACTTCTGGTAATGACAGCCTTAAAAATTGGCGTCTTTCATAATTTTTATCAATTTTAATAAAGGCAACATAGATATTAAAATTCGCACTTCATAACAGAACGACATACATATATGCATGCTTAATTCCTCTTAATATTTAGTTTATAGTTTCTATAACAGATATTTCAAATATAATTATATTATTATAATTGTAGTTTTTTGAATGAATAAATGATGAGATCTAATACTCATTTAAATGAAACTAAAATTCGGTTTATCAGATATTCACATCTCATCTGCTGCTAAGCAAACCGAAATCTCTTGAGTGGGTAGTTCTAAAAAATAATCAAATTCGATAAAATTAGCTGTATTTAAGTGAATTTATCATATTATTATTAACTCACATGTCCGTGAAGGCAAGCGGCTTTTCCCGCCATACATTCAATCATCATAGCAATTGTCATTCTAGAGGGAAAGCCGTGAGGATTGAACAAAACATCGGGAATAAGACCGGATTCTGTGAACGGAAGATCTTCGGCTGGCCATTTTTGTGAACAAATACCTTTCTGACCGGCTCGGGAAGCGAATTTATCACCAACTGTAGGATTACGCTGAAATAAAATATATATATAATGAGATCTAAGATTTTCGCGAGTACTCATTTAAATGAAACTAATATTTTCGGATTTTACTTCGCGTTTTACTACTTAAAAGTAGCCGAAACGTCAGGGGTATGTAGTTTTTATCTAATCAAAAATAAAACGCGAAGTAACATCCGAAAATATTAGTTTCATTTAAAATATTATATGTATATTAAAAAGTATGATATTTGATATTATGATGTCCACAGAGTAAAAATTTATATATAGGTTATGTATGAAATACGGTTAATAATAAAAGAAAAACAATATATATATATATATATTTAATTTTAACCGAACTTTTAATTCCCGAACGCACCCGAAGTGAAGTTACAGCGATGACATTTGGTTAGTTAACTTTTACGCGGGAAATTATTTTGTGTTTATAATTGAATTTAAGTTATTGAAGGTGTTTTGGTTTAAGATAATAATAAGTTTGTTCTAGTTAAGATCTGATTTGTTATTTAAAAGTACTAGCTTTATATGACAATTATATTTATTAATGATTTTGTTAGAATCCTAAATATGTGATATATATTTTTATTTTTAACTATATTTCTTAGATAACTAAACATATTTAATCTATGGACTTTAAATACAGTTCAATTAGAATATAGGGTTAGCAATTACAATTATCAATATTATCGTAGAGCATATATTCCTAAATATATTTTTTTGATACATTTAAATATAATCTCTCTATTATAAATACATATTTACCTGTATTCTGACCATGATGCAGGCTTTTTTGGGTGCCTTGCTACTAAACTCGCCGCAGAGCCTCACACTATCTACAACAACCTCTTCTTTGCCGTGATATTTAGTCACTATGAACTTTGAACTGTCGCTATCGTAATGACTGAAAAAAAAACATAAAAAATCACAAAATATATGAATAATTTACTGTTTTTTAGTCAAAATACTTTGAAATTTGTAAAAATTACAGTAATTGTGTTAATTAATTTATATTATAGCAATAATATTAAGGGCTTTTGATTTTGATGAGTGTGTATTTTTGAATCGTTATTAGGTATAGAATCTATATTATGACGTATACAAACTTTTTTAAGATAAATACATATACATAGCCATTATTATGGCGAATTATAGTCATTTTGATTGTCAGTGATATTTTTATCAGTAACCAATATAAAGGGCTTAAATTTATTAAAATTTACTTTATAGCCATTTTAATAAACGGAGTTCAAACGATATGAATTTTAAAAGCACATTAACAAATAAGTCTCTGTCTTTTAAACATAGAAATAAAATCATCGACAAAAACATTAAACACTATAAATTAGTGGAACTGTATAATTCTGATTACATATTTCTGCACAGTAAATGTACACGTCAGTGATTTTTCCGAGTCATATGTACTTTCTAAGAGTATTTAGATATCACTGATTAATGCATTCCCAAAGAGGGTTGATGTCTACGGCTGCCGTAAAAACAATTAGCCAAAACTATTCACAACATGACAGAAACTGGCTATAGCCGGGAATTTGTCAGGTAGTAGAATATTTATTAGTAGTATATACGTTTCGCTTCTTGTAAAAACAATTAGCCAAAACTATTCACATGTAAGGCTGGCTATAGCTGGGAAATTGTCAGGTAGTAGAATATTTATTAGTAGTACACACCAGTAGAATGGATCTTCAGGTAGTATCCTTGCCCCCACAGCCGGTAGTCCATCTTCATCCATATAAGAAGCTAGCTCAGGTCGTGTAGGATCGCGACAGAAGTATGACGAAGAGTTCTTTAGTTCAGCGAAACTTGATTTGTATACGGACCCCGCTGCGAACCCTCGCTCGTATGAAGATTTGTTTATTATCATTGCGTCTTCCATGTCGTAACCCTGGAATATTTATTTAATACGAATTTTACTGTTTTTGGTTTCAAACTAAGTTATTTTCTTAATGTAAGCATAAACATTAAGAAAAAAGCTGTATATAATAGCAAGGTAAGTCTTACTTAAAATGTTGGTTGGAACAGTTGGTTGTTTGTTTTGGTAAAGCTATAATTATTATAAAAAGGCCTTGAATACTAAATAATAATATAATAAGAACGAATTCATATAGAACAGTTAGTTTAATTTTATATATGTAATTGCATTTTTATTCCAAAACCTACTAATAGTACGTTTCCGGAAAAAAACATAAAACACAAATTAGATGTAATATGACAATAGATTCATTATTGACAAAATTTATCTTGTGTCGTTGGTTATGCAAAAATGTTTTACAGTTAACCCTACTAATATTATAAATGCGAAAGTAACTCTGTCTGTCTATTACTCTTTCACGCTTAAACCACAGAACCGATTTTAATGAAATTCTGTACAGATATAGAGTTGACCTTGAGAAAGAACAGGATAGTTTTTATCCCGGACTTTTGAAAGGTCTTTGGAAACGCGATATAACCGAACTCCACGCAAAGCTGCGGGCGGAAAGCTAGTTAGTATTCAAACAAAAGTAACCCTTACCGTGTATGATATAACGGCGAGTATCGCGTTCGTTCCTGAAGGATAATCGTCTAAACTCAGGTTGTCATAATGTACTGGTCTAAAGAGAGGCGTAGCTCCGGTTTGTAACCGGTACAACTTGGTCTCTGCGTTCGTAGACCAAGTATGGATAGGCGTTCCCATCGTTTGTTTACCCATTTGACATTGGTACATATTACTGTAAGAGAACATATCATATCTTTATATATATAAATCTCTGTGAGTGTGTATGTCACTGAATTTCTCTCAAACGACGCAACTAATCTTGATGAAATTTTTTGCGATCAAAGGGATCTGGGAATGGTTTAGATTCACAATTTCGTCCGCTGGACAATGTTTTTTTTATTAATTTTTAATTTTTAATGTCTAGTATATAAATATCCATAATATTTTAAAATAAAATAATTTATATTTGTTTTCTCATTTTAATGGATTTTTTAATTATACTTTTTTTTGTATATTAATGTTTAATTCTCATAAAATATTATTATAGGATATTTTCTTACCGTGGTGATTGGTTGCAGTCCGGCATAGGAACTAATTGGGCCAAATTACTCATAAATGCCGATTTTGATAACTCTAAATGGGTTGTTTTGCCTGAAAAATACATTTATGACATATAAACAAACAGATATATGTAGAATATTTAGAAAATTACAGAATAGTTTTTTAGGATCATAATGTATATGATATGTATAAATTTATTTTTGTTGCTTAATTTTATTTCGGCTCTGGATTTATAGATTATTCAATATTTAGACTAAATATTATGATTTTTTTTCTCTATAATTATAGTATAATTACTATTATTTTACACTGTGTTCACAGAAAAAAATTAGTCATAGGGTTAATAAATAGTAAATAGCGAAAGAGTGTTAATCTAGAAGTCAATAATTTTATTTATACTTTTCTTTTCCTCGTTTGTATATTTCAGTAAGTCCGCAAGGTTTATTTATTATATTACTCATATCTAAAATTTGAATGATTAGGATAATGTATGAGAGTGCATTACTTTCTTACTTAAATCATACGAGATATTTGAGGCGACTTTTTAAAAATATAGCTAATCATCAGAAAAATATGAAATTTATAATTTATCTTTTTATTCTTAGTGAGAAATGTTTAAGGACTCAGGTATAATTTGTCTTTAATTTACTGTGTTATTGTTTATATTTTTTATTACTTTCCTGTGCTCTGTTTTTTTCTCCAATAAACTAAAAATAAAAAAATAAAATAAAATAAAAATAATACCTTTAATAATCTCTGTTTGTGTAACAGCTATGTCTAAATACAGTTGTTCCATAGTACCAATCAGTTCGAGTTGACCAGTCGATAGATTTATAACTGGACGCATCATACGGGCTTCGCTCGTGAAGAGAAATACTCCCGCATATTGGGCCGGTATCTAGAATAAAATATATAATTAATGTATTTATTAACTTATATATTATTATGAATTTTATTAATCTATATCCTATATACAGGGTGACTGGTGAATTACTATCGATATTTGAGGACGTGATATTTGACGATCATATATGACAAAATAAAAATTAATATAACATAAATATTAATAAACTTCTAAGTAAAGTTAACCAAAAGTTATTTAATTAATTACGCATCGTATGAACACCCTACAGATTAGGTATACATACACACTCACACAGACGCGGCGGCGGCGTAGTATTGTATCAGCACGCCGCCGCACGCGTCCACACTTGGAACACTTGGAACGTGTACACACTTTATTTATTTATACGGAAATTTGGTCAAAAATTAAGTACCTATTTTTTTTTTACATAATTCGAATGAGAATCATGTACCGAGTATGCTCCTTAAATATTGATAGTAATTCACCAGTCACCCTGTATATTACCACATAAAATTCTGCTATATCCCTACTAATATTATAAATGCGAAAGTAACTCTCTCTGTCTGTCTGTTAAGCTTTCACGTCTAAACCACTGAACTGGTTTTAATGAAATTTGGTACAGAGATAGACTTGACCTTGAGAGAGAACATAGGATAGTTTTTATCCCAGACTTTTGAAAGGTTCTCTTGGAAACGCGATATAACCGAACTCCACGCGGGTGAAGCTGCGGGCGGAAAGCTAGTAACATATATTTAACAAAATATTTATCGAATTAGTTGTCTTTAAAACGAAGAAAATCAAAAACTAAAGAACATAAAAACTGCAAAACATTTCCTATAAGACTATTGGAAGACATACATCATATGAATTAATATGAATGATTTTTTTTTTTTTTTTTTGTTTTCCCAGGGGAAATCTGTTCACAGATACCCGGCCAAGCGGGGACTTGACCGGGTTATGTGGGGTTTCGACCCACTAAAACCCCTGGGTGTTCCTCAACCACGCCACCTAGGCAGGGCCACGGTATATCACGAGCTTGCCTCGCGACCCTGCCGGCGCTTGTCCACTCCGGACCTCGAACTAGGGGGGACAAATCCCCCCGCAGACCACCACCGCGAGCCGCCCCCGGAACAAGAGGGGCTAGCACCGCACTGATCCTATCAACGGGCGACAGAAGTCCCCGTCTGCCACCCAGGATCACGTCGCCCGGCGCTTAACCTATGGCTGTAAAGAGGCCAGATAGGCTCGGCGCCGGCGACCAATTCGCCGACGACGGAGGGCAGGGGCCTCCGGGTTGCTCTCCCTGGCCCGCTCCGCTGCCTCCTTCGCGCTGATGACCGCTTCGGCAAAAGCGGCCACCGCCTCCCATGCCTCCTCGCTGCCGACCATAGCCGAGATTATAGCCGGCAACGAGAGGTCCCTCCCTATGACCGTAGTCAAAGCAGCGCGAAGGCTGTCCCACGCTGGGCATGACTCGCGAGTATGCTGCGCCGAGTCCTCCACGCCACCCCCGCAGTGATGGCAGGCGGGGCTTTCTTCCCTGCCCACCACCCGCCACAGATACCTGCCGAAACATCCGTGTCCCGACAGCAACTGTGACAGGCGGTAGGTCAGTGGGCCAAACGTGCGACCCACCCACTCGCAAAGAACAGGCCTGACAGCGGTGGCCAGTTCATAACTGGCCGTCGGAGAAGCCAGTCGCTCACCCCATCTACGTAGAACGTTGGCCGCCGCATCCCTTCTCCATTCGGCGACCGACCCGGACGCAACTCCTCCGTCATGGCTGCGAGCCTCCGCGCGCCGGTGATAGACAGCCGACAACGCATCGGCCTCCAGGTACCACGGTGGCGTGCTGGCCAGCACGCAGGCCCCCTCAAAAGACACTGTACGGTACGCCCGCGCCACCCGTCGCGCCAAGATACGCTGCGGACGGCGGAGGTAGGCTGTCGTTCGCGGGCCGAGAGACCGGGCCCATACAGGCGCACCGTACAGTGCCATCGATCTAACGACCCCAGTGTAGAGTCTACGACATGCCACACTGGGACCACCGACGTTCGGAAGCAGGCGCCCCAACGCGCCAGCCGCCGCGACCAACTTGGGCTCCAGTCGCCGGAAATGCTCGCCGAACGTCCATCGACTGTCGAGGACCAGCCCTAGGTACTTCAGCCAGGGCTGAACAGAGATAAAAGTTCCTCCGACCACAATACACGCTCCCCTCGGCGGTCCCCTCCGAGGACCGTGGAAGGAAATGGCCTCGCACTTGTCAAGAGCCACCTCCAATCCCAGGGTACGAATCCGTCGCACGACTTGAGCCACACCCGCTGTTGCGACGATTGACGCCTCTCGATAAGATGAACCGTAAGCCGTGACCAGGGTGTCGTCTGCGTAACAAGTCACGCAGACACCGGGAACATTAGCTCCCCGTAACACCCAATCGTAGCCGATGTTCCACAAGAGGGGGCCTAGGACAGACCCCTGTGGAACACCGCATGACATCGCCTTATAGACCCAACGGCCCCCCTGCGTGGGGTATACTATTTTGCGGCCCACAAAATAGTCCGCCACTACGACCTGCAGGTACTCGGGCACCCCGTGCCACCTCAGGCCTGCAAGTATTGTCTCCCAGGGAAGTGTGTTGAAGGCGTTGGAGATGTCTAGCGATACCGCTAGCAACACCCCACCCTGAGACACAGCCTCCTCAGCGAGCGACCTGACACGCAGGATTGCGTCGACCGTCGACCGGCCCTCTCTGAAGCCGAACTGGGTCTCGTGCAGACTTCTGCTCATCGACTGGACGAGACGAGCCGCGAGCACTCGCTCAAAGAGCTTACCCGCCTCGTCCAGGAGCACAATCGGCCGATATGCCGACGGTAGGCCCTCGTCCCGGCCTGGTTTCCGTAGTAGGACCAGTTTCCCCACCTTCCAACAAGCCGGAAACCGGCCTCGGTCCAGGCACATGGAGAACACCTCACGTATCCATGCCTCCATTGCCTCAGACGCTATGTTCACCACCCGACCGGGAACTCCGTCCAAGCCCGGGGCGGTCCTCTTGCTCCGCAGCTTTGCACGCGCACGACACAGTTGCTCCTCGGATACCGCCGGACTACCGGACTCGTTTGGCGAGTTATCAGCCATAGCTGGAGGCGTCCAAGGCTCCCTTCGAGGAAACAACGCCTCCACCACCTCCTCCAGGAACTGTGGCTGAAGAGTGGTCGTGATCGGCTGGGTCCAAGGCCTGGATTTGGCCCTGATGACCTTGTAGGGCCGCCCCCACGGATCCCGATCCAGTGACTCTAGCCACTCGTTCCAGGCCGCCTCCTTGGCAGCGCTGATCCCCATCCGCAGAGCCTTGCGTGCAGCCCGGTACTCCTCGTATAGGACGTCCTCTCTCTGAACGTCCCGTACGCTCCTACGCCTGGCGCGGGCATGGCGACGGCGGGCGGTGACACACGCTCGACGCAAATCGCGGAGTTCGTCTCGCCACCAGTACACCCGGTGCCGTGGGGTGACCGGACGCGCTTTCGGCATCGAGGCTTCGCATATACGGACCAGCGCACCGCAGAACACGTCAACTTCGTGATCCAGGTTGTCGGACGATAACCTCCTGGACCACTCTTCCACGATGGCCGCTTCTTTGGCCAGGGAAATGTCCAGTTTTCCCAGCACCCATTTTCTTCCATCTCCAGTAGGGGAAGCTCCGACTTGTGACGTAGAAGACGCGGCCACCCTGAATCGGATATAGCGGTGATCCGACAGGGTTTCAGCGTCAACCACCACTGTCCAATCTGCGATACGGCGCGCCAGGGGGGCAGAGGCGAATGTGACGTCAACCACCGACCCTCCATTGTGACGTACACACGTCAACTCGCTTCCCCTGTTGAGGACCTCCAAACCGAGGCTTATAGCCCACTCCTCCAGTAAATTTCCCCGTGCGTTCGTCACCGCAGATCCCCACGCTCGAGATTTGGCGTTGAAATCCCCGGCGACTAGCACGGGGCAAGGGTGCACTCTGTTGACTAGAGCTCCCACCTCAACAAGAACTTGCTGAAAAGCAGTAAAGCCCTCGTTAGGGGAGCAGTACACCCCCACTACTGCAGTGCCGCCCACGCAATTAATATGAATGATATGAATTTATAAGAAAAACAAATGGAAGTCTTATCAAACTTTACATTTTCGAAAGCTATATCTAACCCACTAACAAAATTACCAACCAAAAAGAGCGACCAAAAAAGAATTTCAGAGATTTAATGTTTTTTACCTGTTTCTTAGGCACCAGAACGATTTCAGTTGATATTGGTACATCTTCACCTTTGACCTTTAACGTTCGGAGATATGAAACTGACTTGAGTGCAGTGTCCTCATTAAAATAACCCACCAGCCTACCATCTATGAACACGGGGTACTTGTAGACATCGTGGCTTAACGGCGTGTGAGCTACAGAGCTTATGGGGTCCATGCCTGGAAAAAATATAATTATGGATCATTTTTAGCTTTAATTCTTAAAATTAGCGTTATATTTTGAATATTTATATTGGTTGCTAGTTTTATTTTCTTTATTCTAATTTTTGATTAGGGCTATGATCAAAATAAATACATTACATGGGCTTAGTTTACTCATTATACCAATATTAGGTTATTATAGGTTTTGCTTTATAGTTAGTTAGACCAAAAATATTCATGTCAAATTTATCCAATATGATTTAAATTTTTACGAAAAATCTAATTTTAAATATAGCATCTGTTTACAAATGCTTCAGTAATCAAAAATCACACCAATCAACACTATCTCTGTTAAAATATAACGAATGATAGTATTATAAATTTGATTAAAGTAAGTATTAATAATAATACGAACCACATTTCTCGAGAACGCTCGGTAGACTTGATACTTGGTTTGGATCGGGTTGTGTGGTCACCTGGAAATAAGAAAGTACTTTAAACATACAACCAAAAACTTATTTGTATGTGAGTGAATATTGCCTTGCAAACGGAATTGCATGTTTATATATGTATATACATACTTAAACATGAGCAATTCAATCCTATTTGTGTGTGTGAATTTGTGATACAGCATGTATGGAAGTGTCCATGTGTGTGTATGCGTGTGTGTGTGTGTTTGTGTACCTGTGCGGAGGCAGTAAGATGGTTGAGTAATCCACAGGGTGCTCCGTCGGGCGTATGTACGGGACACACGAAGCCCCACGCGTCCGGTAATAACTGACGAGCCTCTGTTGTACGCATCTCCATGAAGAAAGAACCACGATGTATAGCCCTGTACATATAATATAATATGGTAACACACACAAAAAAAGATTTGAATAAAAAACAATGTTGCCAACCACAAAAAAATATATATTTCGATATTTATCGACCAAGCTTACTCATGACTAAGAAAGTCAAGTGGCTGAATTGTCTAAAAAATAATGTTGCCAACTACAAAAAATCTAAAAAAAATATTCTTTTACGATTTTTATTATTGTGGAGTAATAAGTAATCAGACATTATAACTGCTTACTCATCGCTAAACCTAAATAAGTTCAATAGGCGAATTATCCATAATCCTACTAATATTATAATTGCGACAGTTTGTGAATGTGTGTGTATGTTTGTTACTTCTTCATTCTCAAACGGCTGAACCGATTTTCATAAAATTTTCTATACAGGAAGCTGACGTCCAGGAATAGTACATAGGCTACTTTACATTCCGAAAATCGGAGGTAACACCGCGGGGCGCAGCTAGTAATGATATTACTTACTTGAAATGCGACATATATCTCATTCTGTTGAGGTTTTCGGCTACTATCGTCAGACCTTTGTATTGAGCTAGGTTCACGTTATTTGACGGAGCGTTACCCGTTGCTAAGAACGTTTCCATTTTCTGTTCTAAACCACCGGCTGATCGTATTATTTGCTGTAGTTCTTTCTGTAAAAAACATATATACTAAATGAAACCGCGACTTCGTCTGCGTGGAATAGTTAAAATGTAACATAAGAATGGTTAAGTCACTTCATATTAGTACATAAGGTTACCTTCTTTGTTTGTTATATAAATAAATGACTTATAATTATAATTTTGAATCAGCTAAAACAAAATATGTAAGCATGAAGGTAGGAAATAAATCATAATTTAATGTTTTAAAATACATATTATAAAACTATAAACATTTTATAAATTATCCCGGAACAAACAAACATATCTTTAACATATAATCTTTTATAAACATAAATTGTCCCAACTTACTGAAGTAAGCGATAATTTGCTTGTTTTAGATTTCTTGATGATATTAGCTTTGAGGACATATAGCAAGGTCTGGAGGCGTTCTTTCAAAACCTGCAAGTATAAGTGACCTCCGACTTGCAACTCTTGAACCATGACAGCATCAGCCCCTTCCACCTGGAAATTATTATATTATATTAGTAAAAATAACAATACATAAATATAAAAAAAACCTGCTTATTTTTCATTAGTATCAAGTTTGTAAAACTGTATGAGCATTCATTGATATAAAAAAATAGTTTTCTGGTAATGATATTCTCGTCCACCTGGAAATATTTATTTATTTAACAATATTTTAAACATGCCGGAAACATTTAGAACGAAAATATGACACAGGAAAAATAAGTTTAAAGTTACTTATCCCTAGAAGAGATTTCTTCAAGTATACCCAGGAAAGAAGTTTAGACAATTGGGTTTTTGAATTTTTTTTTTTTTTGTGATAAATGGAAAGATCATATATAAGTTTTATAGCAAAACTATTTTTATTTTATTTTTTTTTGCAATAATTAAAAAGTTATTTCAAAATAAAAATTAAATTTTAAATTCAGTACCGAAGATCAGCCGACAGCTCGCGAATAAACCCGAGCGCGTGTGACGTCACAATGTTAGTTTTGCTCATTGTAGCATACAGAGATATAATAATAATAATTAGTACAGTGTTTTGAGTTTTTATCTAGTAAATTCTGTTGGCATTGTTAAAGAATCAAAAATGTCAAAACTCAAAAGTTATCGCTCTTTTTTTGTACCATTATGTACAAATACTACAAAAACAACTCCTGAAAAAATGTTTTTAAATGTTCCTCAAGACGAAAAACGTCGAAAGAAATGGTTTCAAGCAGTGCACCGAGATTATTCAAAAACAAAATCAAACTTTTGTTGTGAAGATCATTTCGTTGTAAGTATTCATAATAATATTGTTATTAATTATTATTTATCTAAGTGTATAAATCGAATAAGTATAGTTCAGTAATTAATTTTAATTTTTACCTGGGCTCCAAATCATAACCTTTAGAATCGTAGCATTAAAAAATTTTAATTGATAATTCAAAGCGATTAAATAGTAAATCTATATGTATGTTTTTCTAATAATTGGAATTCAATTAATATATATTTTCATAATTTTATAACATTCTAGGTTCTGTATCAGACTACATTTAAATTTTTAAAGTATATGTTATTTTGGCTTTTTATAATGTTATAATAACATTTGATTAATAATGATTTAATGAAATAATTATTAATTATATTTAATAGAGAATAAATACTTATTTTCATTTAGAATAGTATTTTTTAACAGACTTACCTTGATGCCTTAGCACCTCGAACTTCAGCAGAATTAAACCGAACGTCATTTTTTAAAAAATTAGTTTTCATAAATATATCAACATCAGGAATATTATCCGATTTTGCTTTTATAAATCCTTTATCACACATAGTCGAAATAAACTTTTCAAATCGTTTTTCACTAATAAATTTGAGATATTTTTGTCAAGTTAAAGATAATAGCCATAAACACTGTACTATTATGAAATTGCTTTAACATTATGACGTCACAAGTATGCTGACCAATCATGGCGCGTTTACAGTCACGTGATATATTTTTGAATTTTATCAATTTTTAATTGTTTATAATTAATTAAAAAAAATTATTTTAAGTTTTTTGCATTAAAAATCCAATATAATTAATAATAAAGTTTTAAAATACATAAAAAAAATCAATACTTTTTTTTTTTCAAAAACCCAATTGTGAATTATTATATGATATTAGTAACTAGTTGAATATACCTGCTTATTTTTCATTAGTATCTAGTTTGTAAAACTGTAAAAGGTTTCATTGATTTAAAAATATAGTTGTCTGATAGTGATATTCTCAAATAAGTAAATATAATTTATAATCTGATTATCAATACTATTTTTAATTTAATCCATATGCAAAGTTAGATACAAAAAATAATTGCTATACTTCTTGATACCCAAACAAATATGTTATTCAGGGCAACACTGTGAAGGATGGAAACATTATAATGAAATATATATAGGAAAAAAATTTACAATAGTTTTTTATATGAAGTTAAATAAAAAATAAACATTAGTACAACTGCTTTGTAAGGCCATATGAAATGTCATAGACAAAACTTGAAATTCTCTAGCAATATCATAGACAAATATCTTTAACATCCTATACCAACTATAGACAATTATAAACTTAATCACCTTGCATTTATTCTGCACCAGATCAAACAGCTTCTGATTCATGAACACCAATCCGTAGAACTTATCCTTGTAGTCGTTGAGATGTATCATGATGCATCTCACTAACAGGAAGTCCGCAGCATCCAAATCTGTAGCTTCCGGTGGTAAATCAAGACGTGCTCTAAACATACGTCCCATGTATGAACGACAATCGATAGATGTGTGTAGATCTTGCTCGTGAAGTTCCCGGAGCATGTTTTGTACACAACTGTAAATAATAATATACAGGGTGACTGGTGAATTACTATCAATATTTAAGGAGCATACTCGGTACATGATTCTCATTCGAATTATGTAAAAAAAATAGGTACTTAATTTTTGACCAAATTTCCGTATAAATAAATAAAGTGTGTACACGTTCCAAGTGTTCCGAGTGTGGGCGCGTGCGGCGGCGTGCTGATACAACACTACTCCGCCGCCGCGTCTGTGTGAGTGTGTGTGTATACCTAATCTGTAGGGTGTTCATACGATGCGTAATTAATTACATAACTTTTGGTTAACTTTACTTAGAAGTTTATTAATATTTATGTTATATTAATATTTATTTTGTCATATATGATCGTCAAATATCACGTCCTCAAATATCGATAGTAATTCACCAGTCACCCTGTATATTGATATTAATATTGAATTCATTTGTAAGAAATTTTGTCATATTTGTATACTAGCTTTTCGCCCGCGTGGAGTTCGGTTATATCGCGTTTCCAAGAGAACCTTTCAAAAGTCTGGGATAAAAACTATCCTATGTTCTTTCTCAAGGTCAATTCTGTCTGTACCAAATTTCATTAAAATCAGTTCAGTGATTTAGGCGTGAAAGCGTGACAGACAGACAGACAGAGTTACTTTAGCATTTATAATATAAGTAGGGATATATTGTTTTTCTTAAAATTACACTGATTTTACTGATATTATATTCAGATTAAAGTTTTATATATGAATCTGAACAAAGAAACAAATGACTAAACTTGAAAAATAATATACTTTATGCATAACATTGAGATACATTTTATGTATAATTATAAACTTGTTGTTAGTGTAATTTAAATGCATATATTTGATAAGAATACATACTTTACATAATACAAGTCATTCTTCTTTCCGTGCAATAATAATCTATATATATAATGGTCTGGCCAGTCTACAAGACACTTCAGTATAAGCACGAGTGGAGCATAGTACATCACTTTACGATGTGAGAACATTAGTTTGCAAGTTCCATTTTGAAGAAAATGTAGTACGTTGTTCTGAAAAGTAAAAAAAAGTAAATTGGAGATAGATATATGTATAATGATTTTGATATAAATAATCATTAAAAATATTTATCATTATCAGCCTATCAGAGCCCACTGCTGAGTAAAGACTTCTTTTATATTTGCTCAAGATGGGTTGATGATTTCAAACTTATACTCCGAAATTATAAGCCTAGGTTTCCTCACTATGTTTGCCATCACCGTCTATCAGTGGCGTCTAAATACTTTTATAAAGTACATATGACTCGGAAAAATCACATTGGTATTTACCAGGATCGAACCTGCACCCTCATGCATGAGAGGCGGGCCTTCAACTGCCTTTAACCTCTAGGCCACCACTAACTTTATCAAAAATATTATATTCATCCTACTAATATTATAATTGGGAAAGTTTGTGAGTGTGTGTATGTTTGTTACTTCTTCACGCTCAAACAGCTGAACCGATATTAATTAAATTTTGTATACAGGAAGCTGTCGTCCAGGAATAACACATAGGCTACTTTACAACCTTGAAATCCGCGGATAACACCGCGGGGCGCAGCTAGTATTAAATATTCTAAATATTACTAATTTCCACTCACAGTACTAGTTTGATCCGGTTTCACACATCTCATGAGTATGCCATAATCAGTGAATAAATTCCCTCTCATTCTCCAACCCGACCTCTTGATAGCGACGGGGTAGTTCCTTCTAGTTACTAACAACATACGAGCCAGACGTTCATGACCCTGTATAATAAATTTATTATTATATTTAATATCAAAATTAATATAGAAAATATAGAATTAAAAATTCAATGACTAGTAAGTAATGAACTTGGTATATCGAGAAAATCACTTTAATGACTTTGTTAACGGAGATGTCGGTCTTAGTGATTTATTAATAAATGATTGATTAATATTGGCTATGTATTTGTATGTTTATATTACAATACATATATAGTTTTACAGTGATACCAAACTATATCTTTTTTTTATTACTAAGTGGACTAATTTTCTTGTGATAAAACTAAATAAACTGTAAATGGTAATAACACTATCACAAATATACATCATCTACTGAAAAAACAATGATATAAATGAGCCTATTTTTTAATAATACCTTTTTGTGAACAGCTGTTGGTGTTATACAAAAAAAAAAACAAAAGAATATATTAATACAAAAAAAAAAAGAAATAATGATTATTGTGAAACTTACAGTAATTGAAACTTTTGCTCAGAAAAAGAAATAAAAAAAAAACAAAACAGTTAATAAATTACTTTTTAGTACATTCGTTTTCTCATCTACTAAAAAACCAATGTATCTCATCCTAGATAAAAAAAATTACAAATCACCCAGGCATCTACACAACCAGGCAAATATTTTTTTTTGGGAACTCATACCGAGCCCTTTTCTCAAAATAGATAAGGGACTTTTGACTACTACTACAGCTTCGGCAAGGGGGCATTATAACCCACTTGGGGAAAGACTGTGATAAATGATTGCTTAATAATCTGACCTTAATAATAAAGTATCCACCCCACTCGTCAGCATGTTCGTTCTTCTTAACTAGTTCTTCGGGAGACAGGTCAGCCAAGTGGCACACTTTGGACTAAAAAATTTCATAATTTATAAATTATACACAATTAAAAATTCCTATATGTTTTCATTTATATTTGATTAATGCAAATACTAGTAGTACTATGGAAATAATACTACAAAATATATAATGTACTTAAAAGCAATAGAAAGCAGTATAAATAGTTTCAATATGAAATATAATATAATTTAAATGTAACTTTACAATATTTAATATACATAAGTAAGTATCGAAAGTGTATTCATAATGAGACAAGTTTTATAATTTTCTTTACCTTTAACATGATCGGCAAACTTCCGAGGGATCTGTCCATTGATATGGTCTTCCCATCAACGGTAAAAGATAATCTAACTTTGAAATCTCCTTTATATGTAGCTGCTCTCTGCCTACATTCTGTCGGTAAAACTATTTGATTTTTAACTCCAACCGCCTCCATAGGCACACTTGGTTTAGCGAATGCAGCTTCATCTATGGTAATTTTAATTCTTTCTCCGCTTGGCACATCAAATTCTACGGGTATTAAGTCATCTATGGCGGCTTTTAATCCATCTTTGATCATGTAATTGAATGAATCTATATGCGGAGTTCCCAGGCATTGTAAATACTGGAATATATAGAAAAAATATGATTATTATCTATAATTTTAGTTAATCATAATTTATGAGATGATTTTATGAGTTTATTATATTTTTTTAAACATAAACAATGCTTACCGGGTTAGCGGTTTTTGGTGGTTTCCTATAATCCGGATTGCTAGTGTACTTCAAAGACGGTTCGTGTAGGATCTTTTTGGGATCCATTTTTATTTATATTATATTATTAAAATACTTAATAAAGCATAATATAACCACAATAACACGTGCTTGTCTTATCAATTGTAAACTATAACAATTAATATGTCAAATGCCAGGTGGTTAAGACATTGACAGTTTTCTTATAGATAAGTTCAAATTTAACGTTAATGCTGCCACTGTTCTTAAATGCTACTATTTTTATAGCATTTTCCTTCAGATCTAGTTTTTAATGGTCAATGCTTAATACGTTTAATTCGTGGACGATTTTCTAAAGATAATATGTACATTATTTTACATGATACTTCGTTTATTTTTATTAATCAAATTGTATGGAATTCTCAAATAATAGTTGAAGTCGAATGTGAGTAACATAATGTTAAGTTAGTTTTATATTGGTATTATCTTTAGACTTTTATAAGGACTATAAATTAAAATGAAATTTTAGGTTGTTTAAAATAGTTTTTGAAAAAAAAAAGTTTTTATTTTTTAATTTTATATTTTGTTTATGGTTTATGATAACGATATGATACATATTAGAAAATAAATAATTAAAGAGTAAACTAAATAATTTTTTGTATGCTAAAAATGTTGGATTCAATTATATTTTGTAAGTCCGTTTATTCATTATATTGTGTAATGTTGTTTAGGGAAAGCTGATAAAGAAGAGATGATTTAAAATTTTTAATTGTTTCGTTGAAATTAATACTCATTTATACTAATAGATTTAAACATAGCTAGCCATAATGGATCGGCGTTATGGGAGAATCGAGGGGTTATTTGATTCAACAAAAAAAGGACAGACAAAAAAGAGGGTAGAAAAAGAAGGGTAGACAAAGAATAAATAGGTTTAACCGATTAATGTAGGCTTTTTTCTTTAAAGAAACTCCACAAGTGATATTGGTAAAATCTTACATATTTGCTATATTCAATACCTCTACTTGAGATTGCAAAAGAAATTTCCGTGGGTAGATCATGAAGTAGAAGGGTAGAAACCAGTGAAATTTGAAAACGGTGTATGAGAACAAAGAGTATATTGACCCCTGTATTAAATAAACATATATTTATTATTTACAATCTTATAATATCCCTACTAATATTATAAATGCGAAAGTAACTCTGTCTGTCTGTTTGTTACGCTTTCACGCCTAAACCACTGAACTGATTTTAACGAAATTCGATACAGAGATGGAGTTAACCTTGAGAAAGAACATAGAATAGTTTTTATCCCAGAAATTTGAAAGGTTCTCTTGGAAACGCGATATAACCGAACTCCACGCGGACGAAGCTGCGGGCGGAAAGCTAGTAGTCTATAATCTGTAAGCTATTTAGTATCTGTAAATACATTTACTAAGCTTCAATATTTGTGAAGTAATAATGATAATACACTGGATTGCTATTTAATGTTAAACGAATGCTGTTTATATAAAGGCAATGCCATTGTAATTATTTTCTAGTAACTTAAATTTACATAATGCAAGGAAAACTTATAATTTTCAAGGATAATAGAATAAATGATTAATTGCAATCTTCTTAGTAATCACTTTAAACAAATCTAAACTACAATTTAGGTAATGTCATTATGAATTTCCAAAAAAGTGAATGCAAAACAACTTTTAACTAACTACTTTATTAGGACAAGTTTTTATACGACATAGAGATGGTTTAAAGTTTTTTATATAAACTCTTTTTATGTTGTGATCTAAGACTTTCGCGAGTATTCATTTAAATGAAACTAATGTTTTCGGATTACTACAAGTTATTTTATTATTCTAGACTACATACTCCTGGCATTTCGGTTACTTTTCAGCAACCGTGATCACGGGCTACGAACTGTGTATCTCATCTATCTCTAAACGTCGAGAGAATGTAGTTTTGGTAAACAAAATACGCGTAGTAATCCGAACATATTAGTTTTTTCTTATATTGTAATATTAACGTAGTTTATTTAATAAGAAACGAGAAACGCTTCGTACGTAGTATAAACATATGTAGACATATGTTAAATATTGCGTTTAACGCGTTAGATAGGTGTCCCTTAAACCTACACCTGGGTCACAAGTCCCAGTCGCTGTTGAAGCTCCTCTCACTACAACGATGGACCCGACACACGCACTGTGAATACATTGAATGATGAGAAGTTTCGTCTCGTCTCCATAGAGACCTATTTAACTTCTCTGTAAGACTGTAGTCATTGAATTCATATTGTTTATTGTTGAAGTTATATTTTAGTTTAAGTTACTTTCAAATCCCAATGTTATTCGTTGATCATTTAACAACTCTTCTTATAAAAATGTTGTCATACTAGAAAATTACTTAATTAATTTTGGATGACAAGAAAGAAATAATGATAATTCAATTTCCCGCCTAAAATATAAGGATAACATTTTAAATATTGATATGTATGTATATGTATTAAAATTTATTAATATCTAGTATTAAATCAAATAAAAAATAAATAAATAAATATAGACTACTTCTTTGTTATTTTAATATTATAACAAAACTATTTCTTGACACGTAACAAAACAAACGAGTCTGACGTCACAGATTATGACATTTCCTATTTTCGTTTCTAAACACGCGTTATCTAACTAAAGTGATTTTTCGTAATTATATAATATATACTGGCAAACGCCCGCTTCAGCGTAATCACAGTTTCAGCTGATAACGCCTAAATATTGGCTAATGTTTATCTAAAAATAAAACATGCGTTAGAAAACACACGTTAATATTTTACCAAATAGTTTTTATATGAAAAAAAAAATGCATATGAAAGTATGTATTCAAATCAAATTGTTTTTATCTCTCCCGCTTATTGTAACAAAAAATTGTCGGCAAAAATATTTCACGGTCAAGTGTATTTTAAAAATAAAATAATGAATACTTTTGCGAGACCGTTGCAACGCGTATGTTACGCAGTCGATAGATCATAATTATTTTAAAATCACATTAAAAACTGCATACACATTAAATACTTTTTCGATAATGATAGGCTGTAACTTTTGAACCTTGCTCTTTATTAGAGATAATGAATTTAAATATTAAAAAAAATAAATATGGAGGTAATTTTAAATAAAGAACGTTGGCGAGATCTCGACAATACGCCGGCGATATATTTGGTTAGTGTTCCAAAAACCGGCGTGTAAGCTGTTCGTTTATTTAGTCCATGCGCTAGCGGCTGGCCAATGTGCGTTACGTAATAATAATAAAAAATATATAAATTAAATGTGCATTTATTATAATTAGTTATCAGTTTTCGTGATACTGGTGAGTATTCTAGATTTTTAAATATATATTATTTTTTAATATACCTATTAAAACTTACGTTTTTATTAAAAAAGATACAATTAATTTCACTTAATGTTGTTATTATATTGATTTTTAATATGTTTTTTTCTCTGTGAATAATAAGTTTTTTTATAATTGGTTCTACCCGCATTTTAAAATGTTTCTGTTTTATACCGCCCTTTTTTACGAATTATTTCTTGTAAAACTATTGATTTAAATAAAAACAATGAATTTTAATATAAAATTACTTACATATAAAGTTTAAATTAATATGCTATATAGATCAATAATATTGTTATTTTTTTAGTACAGTAAGGACAAAGTCGAAAGGTCTTTTTTTTAAATGCAAATATTCAGACGACTTAAAAAACACAAATTACATTTATTTTTTAATCCGATTTTTTTTATGTTATTTTATAACTGTTGAAAATAATGTAAAACTTTTATTGAAATAGAAATTACAGGTACTTTGTATTGCTAAAATATATAAATTGGTATACTTTTAAATGCTAGGAAGTCTCTATAGAACAAAGTAAATACTTTTTTTTGAGAACGTATATTGAAGATGACGCTTTAGAATGACAGCATATTTGGTCATCTTTATGATATGATAATGATAATGTTATGATACGACCATGATATGTAGTTAAGATTATTATACCAATCTCAGTTGGCACTTTGAATCTTGTTTTCTTCCCTATAACAAAAAAATATATTAAATTCTATGACGCGTATTGACTTTCAAAATTCATTATTTATTATTTTTTGATAATTAATCAGATTTAATCTTTTTTAATGTAAATGATAAATATATTTAAGCGATAAATTAAATATATGATAATAAACCTTTTAGTTGCTGGTTGGATTTGAAATATAAATTTATTTGTAACTAGCTTTCCGCCCGCAGCTTCGCCCGCGTGGAGTTCGGGTATGTCGCGTTTCAAAGAGAACCTTTCAAAAGTCGGGGATAAAAACTATCCTATGTTCTTTCTCAAGGTCAACTCTATGTCTGTACCAAATTTCATTAAAATCAGTTCAGTGGTTTAGGCGTGAAAACGTAACAGACAGACAGACAGACAAAGTTACTTTCGCATTTATAATATTGGTAGGGATAATTAATTTTGAAACAAAGTGGTTAGTTTTACAACTTCCATTAAATGATACAGTGCTAAAGTATTTATATACATATAATTTAAATATCTTTTTGTAAAGTAAGAAAAATTATTTCGTTCTTTTATATATAAAGTTCTGTTTATGACGTAAAAAATCATTTGTTCATTTATATATATGTAAGAATATGTATATATGTATTCCGTATTAACTCTATAATTTTGACGGAACCATTATTACATTCTCACTTAAGATAACAAAGACTATTCGAACTAGAAGATTTTTAAACAGACAAAGCCGTGGGCGGATACTAGTCCTTCACAAATATACCTATACGCGTTACCTCCATCGATATATGTTAATTGTACCTCCAATGATGACAGAGGTCAAGTCAAGGTCGAATCGATGTCACCATAAGAAAATATTACGAGAAAAACCATAGAAATTAAATTAATTTCTATGGTAAAATTTCTGTATTATGATAAGGGGATAGTGAGATTTAAGATTTTCGCGAGTATTCATTTAAATGAAACTAATATTTTTCCGATGCACTCTATGGTTGCTGAAAAGTAGCCGAAACGTTAGAAGTATGTAGTTTTTTTTTTTTT